CAGGTCCAGGTGGTTCACGGTTCAGGGTTTGAAGTTTGGGAACCTTTCCTAAATGCCTAGTAATTAATAGGTACTATGGTGAGTAAGAATAAGAAGAAATGAAATTGAATCGTTGAAAGCAGTATAGGTATACACTAATAGTAGTCTGTCATTCACGGTTCATGACGTTGTGTAGTTATGAAAATAAAATTGACACGCTGGTTACTTCAGTCATTGCTTGGTTACTACTGACAGTGACTCTGTCACAGACTAGATCAGTAATGTAAGCACTCACAGAGGAAAAAGACTAAAACGAGTAGACTTACTTGCTTAAGTGACTGTAACTAATACGCAAACCAGCCCATTCCAACATTTTAAAGCATCCAGCTTGCTCAGGAAGGACGCTTGACTACTTTGACCGCACGGTCTACGATGGACCGCAACGTGGCAAAAAAGAAGGCCAAGCCGCTACGCCCATCTGAAAAGATGGAAATCGTTGATGCCCTGAGGGATGGCAAGCTACGTGACTCCATTAGTTCATGAGAGCTTGTGATGGGTTAGAGCTGACAAATCTGCATTAGCAAACAATTGCTCTGAATCTGCACTGATGACTCTCTGCTGACACGCCGTGTGATTCAGTAATTCTAGATGGGCATGGTCAGGCATCATAAGGACAAGGGTCGGGCGTAGGTCGCAGAAGCATAGTAAGCAAAGACTGACTGGTGCCATTGCGAAGCAGGGTGAGTGAAGTCAACATTATTCGGGCACGTCACAAGTCACGTCTTCAAGTTGCCTGCAGCAAACGTAACGATGATGATTGTCCAATCACTACTTTCCTCAACTTGCAGGTTCTACACTCTCCGACAAGCAATGGTGGACAAGGGCATTGCCGGGCTCCATCCCTTCATTCTATCAGCGTGGGACATGGTTGCCCGGATGAACATATTACACAGCTCAAGCTAGTCCACTTCCCTGCATCCCAGCCCAATCCAGATGGAAGTTCAACTGAAGCAGGTCCATTAAGCACGCAGGGCAACCATCACACCGCAAGTCACACTCATATCATGCTCTCATGTGAGTTCTGAGTACTTGCTGTCCACAATAAACTCAGGAAGTCTACATCGCCAAGGCGCACAGGCTGTTCAGCCAGCACTCCCAGCTTCACGTTCGGCTCTCGGAAAGGGGATCAGGATCCGGTGTCCCCAAACTTTTATTCTCAAAGACAATTATTCGTTTGTTCAAGCGACCAAGACTAAATAGTGTAGTGTTGCCCGTGGCTGAGGCCTACTGAAGCTATCATTATTTATTTGACTAGATTAGTTTCGATAAATCAAGTCATCACCTGAATTAATTAATGGACTCAAGTAAATCTCTGTAACCGTGAAGATGATAGCTGCAGCAGCGCTCACTGAATCACATAGGCAGAGGGCGCCCAGGCCCAGGCTGCCTGAAGTGCAGGGCGTTTAAGTTCATTTATCTAGGGCTTGGCTTAAGGCTTAGGCTTAGGCAATTTGATAGTAGGGTTGTTTTTTGAAGTTTAGTAAGTAAAAGTTAAATAATGACGAGTAGGCTTTATATTAACAGTAAAAGGTCTCTAAGGTCTAGGTAGGGTTTTAATTCAAAATCGAAGAGGGCCCCTGACTGTCTGTCAGACTGGTTGTAATTGCACTTGCATTCTTAAATCATTAGGTAACCCTATTAATAGCCTATGACACGAGTCTATTAACCGTTAACTAAGCCCCTAGATCTTGCCACGTCATGTCCAGGCTCGTTGCAGAACCACAACGCTGAAGTTGAGACTAGACTAGTATACCAGCAGGCAGGGCTGAAGTCAAGTTTGGAATCCTGCTTGCAGACATTGATGTCTACCACCCTGTAGCCGTTTAACTGTTAGTCGGGAACCAGTAGCCTACCATTAATTTAAAACTAGGCCGCGTCTGTCTGTTGTTTGCAAAATGCCTACTGACTACTTACCTTGAATTCAAGTTGCAGGGTAATCAGTTTACGGCGTAAATAACTGATATGATTGATAAGACTGTAGGAAGTAGACTGAGAAAAGAGAATCCAGCCACTACTCCTTCTTACTGCTACTACTGACCACTGCTGCTGCTGCTGCTGCGGCTGCTTCAGCTGCTGCTGCTGCTGCTACTACTGCACTATTTAAGAAACCTTATTATTACTTATGCAGCTAGTGGTACCTCTCAGTGCAGTGCGACGCAACATAATTATAACAATAATGGATATTCTTCGCCTAGGCTGCCTGCAATTGCACTATGTACAACAAACCAGTATAAGTCAGTTGCCTCCACGCCAAGGTCATATTCGATGGCTCCAGCATCCAGAAGGTGCCCATTGAGGCGTACTCATTCTACAGCCGCTGGCCCGGCAAACTCAGGAGTCTAACTAATGCCTGGATGGAAAGCAAATTTAAGTCTGGACAGGTGGGTTTAAAGCTAAGTTTAGGCTTCATGTTTCCGATTACTTCCGAAAGTCCCCTGGCCCTATCTAATCTTAGGAGGTCAGAACCTCATGTGAGTCAAACGCCGTCATGATGCTTTAATGTTTGCGCTGAAGATCCAACATCTGACGTGTTGGTTGTTGTCACACTGTTGTTAGATCCATCCCCAACCCAACAACCCTGCGTTGGTGAGGTCATGGAGCGCGGATGGGGGCATACGGTCCTCCACTGGCAACTTAACTTGAATGCATGCAACGGTATGTTTGCTTGTTCTGCACAGGCCTGCTACCTTACCTAACCTAGGTAAAGGATCTGACAATGAGAATTATTCGGTTCCAGCTGGTGGCTAATCTAGTCAGACCATTTGCAGATCAAATTGCTGTGCTGTGCTGACTGCTGGCTTGATCAAACAATCACTGTCTGAGTCTCTGTCTCTGCGCGGCCATTCATGCCAAAGGTCAAGGACTCCTTTCGAAGGAATCCACGACACGTTGACTCAAGTTGTAGCTGTGATTTCCATTCAGTTCCAACTGGCTTCAGTGTCTGTGTTCAATTCAAACTGAACTGCTAGGTGTAGGGCATTCTTTCCAGAACTTAATTGGCGGCAGTACCGTCTGTTCTCAGTGCCAACCATGCCCAGTGCCGGTGCCAAGCGAGCTTCGAGCAGCGCTTCTGCGTTTCTTCATGACAAGCAGCAGCATGCTTGTTGCCATGCTGGCACTGCTCCAGATGGCATGCTTGACTCACTTTTGATGACCAGTACTAGTGATGGGGGCACCTCTGATTCTGACCAAAGCTCCATACCGCCTACGCAGAGTTCCGCGTTCGGGGCAGCCGCTCAACCGCAAGCATCATTACATGAAATGACACAACAGCTTGAGTTCGGGATTTAGGCAGGGGCCAGGGGCCTTGAAAACTAAAAACTTTAGCTTAGTAGTTACGTCCAAGAATACTGCATACTCTATTGAAACTGTAGAAATAGTCGTTGAGGTGAGTGAGGTGAAGACGTTATGTATACAATATATTATAATAATATTTTTAAAGGATTAATTAGCAATATTAAACAAATAAATTAAATAAATAACAGGTGGCAGACAGTCTCCTCAGTGGAGCAACATCAGTCACGGCGCGCTGGCGCTCACGGATGATACGGTGAATACTGTAATAAATACTAAATTCAAATTCTGTCTGATCTGTTGTTGTAGCCAGTTCTGACTACTACTTATTATACGCGTAGTAACTAATAATGAGTTGGAAATAGCAATGTCTTTTACGATAAGCTTCAATGTTTCATTTCGATTGAATTAAATTGAATTTGTTGTGCTCGGTTCATTCATTCAGAGTGCATGCAAGGTTTCATTTAATTTTGAATGTTCAAGTCAGGCAGTCAGAAATCATTAAATCAGGACTCCAGGAAGTAACTGTTTGTGCAGTAGCCCCTGCTTGTTGTTTTGGCAATGCTGCAAGGATCGTGATGCCTGGTCGGTGCTGGAGAAGGCAGCACGTGGAATCAGCAGTGCCTGGCACATCGTGGCAAAGGAGATGCCTTCCAGGACCCTGGCGGCTGCCTGCCTAAATTAAACGTACATCGCTGCTCTGACAGTCAATCATAATCAAAAGTAAGACATCAGTGAAAGTGATGAACGATCGAATTTGACTACGTGAGCACGTTTATAAATGCACTGTGGACATGAAAATAAGACTTTAACTTAGCAAGGTTTTCCATTTATTTATTTTTCAAATTAATAAAAGGTATTAGTAATTATCAGTTACGTGAGTCAGGTATTATTATTCTTGTTATTTTGTTGTAATAGTCTATTAGTAATACTGCTAACCTATAATTGCCGGAACCACTTGATTCAATCTGTCAATTACCTGACTTGAATATTTGAATTTGGAGCAGGCAAACGGCTAAACTGGTTTAACTTTTAATAAGCTGCTGCCAGCCCTGGCTCATTTTGAAGCCAAGGACTCCTGGCTGTGCCATGCTGACAGCGCAAGCAGTTTCTGCACAGGCTGCGGAACTGCCGAGTTAAGCCGTGCTGTTTTGGAACGCGACATCAATCAGTCCGGCAAGGTAGACTTTCAAGTTCACGTGCCTACTGTGGCCATGTGGGACCCTTTGCAAAAATGAGGTAGATTTAAATTCAGCTCGACAACGTAACGTTGGGAGCTAAGGTCGTTTAACGGCAGTGCCCCATCGCGGTCATGTAACTGCCAGGCTAGCAGTGAATCAGAAATCAGCAGTGAATCACATTGTTCATTGACCCTCACAGCTTTTGCGGTCTATAGGGCAAGGGGTTTAAGTGTAAATGCCATCATCTGACTGACGTGACTCCTGCCCCACACTGCCCCTAACACCTTAAATTGTCAAATTGCTCGTGATCAATTCAATTATACATTAATGCTTGCACGACTAATAATTAGCATGTTTAGCCCTGCCCCCCAACTAACTACTAGACTCAGACTTGGATTAGCATTGGTGAGTAGTTTCTTATAAAATAGACAACAGTAACAGTAAAGTAACATAAGTAAAGTAGGCAGCTGAGTTCCAGAAGCCGAGGAGTTCAACCCAGCCTGCCACCAGCTTCTATTTGAGAGCGTTCGATGGTGCCAGAAAGTTTCTGGGTTCAAGACCGACCCGTGTATCTTTGAGGACATCACAGAGGTTTTGGAAAGCCCGTGGTTTCAGGATGGCATGACGTACTCCAAGAAGCTTGATGCTGGACGCAGGACCTCCTTGGTGGGCAGCATGCAGTGTATCTCACATGGACAGGCGTGCGACATCCACAAAAAGCCTGTGTTCGATGTATCAGGCTTACCCTGCCCTGATATGTCGACTGCTGGAAAGAGGTTGAAGAGGGCAGGGCCTACAAATTCAGTTTACATTGCCCATGGCCGATGGACAACTGAGTCTGAAACTCCCCTGCTCCTGATTGAGTGCACAAAGGTTACTCACCTGTAAGTATGGAATTGTTTCGTAATTGCTATTATTAATTATGGACATGGTTCAGTCATTAATAGTAGTAGTAAGTAGTAGGGTATGAGATACTACTCAATTCACTGATGCAAGGGCAGTGTTGAAGAACAACCATCCAATACAACAATTAAATAATTAGTTGCGCAGCAATTTCTAGCTAACATTCCTAGACCTGCTACAGTGACACTGGGCCCGTCTCATGGTCTCAGCCCATCGAATCAATCCTGGAAACTCGAAGGGATTACTGTTGTAGGACAGGTAATAATAGTAGTCAGTTAATAGTCCAGGTCAGGAATATGATGGTTAGTAAGGGATTTATGAGGTTGAGAGTTAGGTTTGAAAGTTTAGGGGTGCAAGAAACGGATAAGAGAAGAGGGGGGGGAGGGGGTTGTAGTTGTAGGGATAGTGAGTGAGGGTTGGGCAACTTTGGGGGTACAGGGTTTAGCAATCCCTGCCTTAACTGACTGTCGACTGTTGTTGTTAATAGTTCTTCTTTTGTTAGACTGAGGATTTGGACATGGGAATGATGGAGGACACTCATCCAGACCATGATTTCTATCAGTTGTTCTCGGAGCCATCAAATGTGGGGTTCAGTGGCATTGCGCGCTACAGGACATGGGTCATTGGGGCCCATAGAAAGCGTACGACCTGTCTATTTGACCCTTTTCAGTTGCAAGAACTGCTCACTACAGCGTTTCAGAAGAATGTCAAGGCGCAAGTGGCTGACTTCTTGGTGGCCTCGGATTTTGAAATCCAGATGGAGGCTTCTCGGTTAGCGCTGTATCGGCAGATACCTTTCCAGGTTGGCCGGAAGGATTTACGATATCTCCTTTCCGGCAGGGAAGATGACTGCAGGCAGGCGCTAGATGGCAAGTACATGTCACGATATGACTCACTGCCTGGCCTCAATAGCAACCTCGTCTATTTTTTGGGCGACTCGCCAGAGTACTGTTCATGGTCAGCGACCTCGGCTAAGATCCCAACGTACAGGCTGAGTTCCCGAAACAGCCTGTACTGGCTGCCCAGTGCTAAACGTTGGCTTACGCGTAAAGAAAGACTGTGCTCCATGGGATTCCCTTGCGTACCTGAAATTGCAAATGCTATGAAGGTTCCCCTTCTGGGGGCCACAGATGTTCAGCGTGCTGCAGACCTCTGCGGAAATAGCATGCACTTTACAACTTGCGGCATTATGCAGTTAATAGCGTTGTCGTCTTTTGGTCCGAAGGGCCATGAGAATGGGAGCAGCAGCCGCCGGCAGGACACTTTATTTGATTGACGGGTGAGGTGAGGTAGTGGTATGACCAGTCAGGTGTTCAGCCAAAGGGGTTTGATGTTATTCTAATTAACTGTTGTTACCAAACTATCTGAAACTACTCACTCCCGCAGATTATTATTATTATTATTGTTACATACAGCTACTGCTACTGCCACTGCTATTAAACAACAATTACTACTACTTAGTACTACGACTACTACTACTACTACTACTACTACTCTGCTACTCCTCATTACTACTCCTACTTACTCCTACTGTTACTCACTCATCCTCTCTCTCCTGAGTCTCACTGTCTCTCTCTCTTACCCTGACTGCCCTGTCTGTCTGTCAGCCTGTGACCAGTCAGATTACCAGGTTGTAGTGTTGATCCATTGGCGTCATTCAGTAATTCAGTTGTAGATGCATTAGGGTGGTGACGGTATGGAATTTCGGAGTTGGTATCACGTTTGATTGATGGAGCATGTGACAAAAATTTGAATTATTAATTATTGGGGAGTTTGAGAAATTCGAATAATAACTGTAGGAAGCAACCACTAAATACCGCGACCAAGCCTCACCTGCACTGATGGACAGAGTCTACTGCCCGGACCTTGATGAAGGAAGGAAGCAACAAGCTGGCTACTGATTGTTGAAGACTAATCGGATCTTGCTCATAATAGGGTTTGAGCGATACTACGTAGACTAGTAGAGGCTGCTGTAATGTAAATTCATTCGATACAATATTTGTTGATTGCTTTGTCTTTGTACGTAGTCTTAGTTACAGTTAGCCAAACCTCGTCCGAGCAGTCAGAGGCCAGAATGTAGCTTCCGTTGTAGGTCCAAGTGTCCAAAGTCATCTTGGTCCAGCTAGTTGTTGTGATCTGCCGAGTGTTTCAGTCAGAGGCTGATGATAGCTGCTCTTGTTAATTCATAACTCATGTGAGTGTTGCTTGCCTATTGATGCACTACAAAGATTCGATCAGTCATCCACTTGAGTCTGACCCGTGGCAAGTCGCATGATGACATGTACAGGTCATCAGCTTGGCATCATGGAGTGCCTGTGCTTGAATGCGCGAACTGAGTACCATTGACAAAATCTTTCAGACACGCGTCAGACATGAGCTTGATGGGACTAGCTGATGATGCAGCCAACTGCATTGTTGACCAAATCCATCTATGTGACTGTACGACGTGAGCCATGTTTCCATGATATCACTGAACCTTACCTCGTGGCTTCAGGTCAGTGATCCTGTCAGGGTAGTTTGGGGTCACCTGTATTATTAGGAGCCTGGGCCACCTTGCCGTTTGTGAGCCAGAATGGCAAGCGCTTTCTTTGAAACATTGGGGGAGCACGGAGAGAGCATCCTGGCCACGGAAGTTGTGCCTGAAGAGAAGGGCCCTTGACGTTTCCAACTCAGGGAAAAAGAAGCCCACCTCAGAAGGGGCCAAAAGAACTCGAGCTAAGAAAGGTGAAGTTGTGCTGCTCTCATCTTCTTATACCTGTTGGCGCAAAGTCCCGGAAGCATGGCTTGATTCATCATTCTGATTCATTGAGCCCAATCATTCAGCCACTCGTTGTTCGATAACTGATTATCTATATCCCTAACTCATATAATCTAGACATTCAATCTAGCCCCTCATGCAAGGACAACCACCTCAAGGATTTCATCCACCATTGCGAGCCGAAGAAGTGCACGATCTCCTATCTGAATAGCTTCAGTAGTGCCACGATACGGGCAGCGTTCTTTGCCATGTTCCGGAAGGGGCCAAGTGTGGCCCTTGACACGTTCCGTGGTTCTTGAATTAATCATTCTCGACTTGCTTAGCTCCAATGAACACTATGTCCCTAGGTCAGCTGATTTTTGCTCTAAGTAAGTATTCGATAGCAGATGATTGATAGCATGCTAGTATTATTAGGTTGCTGTCCGGAGCCTGCTGCTATTATTATTACTATTACTGCTGCTGCTGCTGCTGCTGTGGCTGCTGCTGCTCACTCGGCAGGCCCCAGTGGGCCTTTGGGACTATATTAATAATATTAGGGGTTAGATGAAGTTCAGGAGTTCTGAAGTTCTGAAGGGGCGGTGAGTCTCCCGGGTTTACGGTTGCAGGGCTGCAATGTGTCAGAGTCTGAACTGAAGTCAAGGATTTTCTTGAAAAGGGTTGATACATTTCCAGTCATTTTATAATTATAGGGATATACTCATATCATATTGATGAATTAAATGAATATATTGACCTCCAAATAATTATACATAATAGTGAAATATCCACAACGCAAGTCTGTCTGGGGCATGCGCAATGCAAGGGCGGGGGTTCGGTTCAGAGGGGGATTTCCTAAACTAATATAAAGTAACTTCTGAAGAATCAGTGTGAAGCCGCAGCACCACCCAGCACCACCACCACGACTTGACTTCATGTGATTCAGGACAATGCGACAACAGTAGCCGCAACAGCAATGATGCAATCGAGCCGCAGCCGCAGCCACATTAGTTATATTACTAATTACTAGATCTAATTTCAACTTCAAAGCCCTAACCTTAACCCAAACTGCCACAGCTGAGGTTCAACAAGGCAGACCAGGCTGACAACTTGAAGGACGAGTATGAGAGATTGGGTCGACCGATGGAGCGCTGCTCCCTAGTTGAACTGGTCCGCAAGGTTGAGATAGAGCTCTCGAAGAACCAGACTTTCAGGGTGCTCAATCTCGGAGCCTGACCTGAAATCATTATTACGCTATGGGCAATGTCTCCTCCTTCATTCATTGGTGTCAGTGTCTGTTTGTCACGCACATATCATACCAGGCTATTGTTAGACAAGTTAGCTTTGCCTCAACTTCAACTGGGCCAGACATTAAATCATTAGTAGGCATACTTCCTTATTATTCCTGGGTTTATATTCCTGCCCTTTCCTGTTGCTCGCCTACTGCATACCCCCTTACTTATAATATTTGTGGGAAGGTGTAACATACGGTTTCGATGGACTTCAATCCCCAAGCGCATAAATTATTAATATTGAACTCAGTCAGCTTCACAAACCTCTGTCCCCACTACCTAAGACGACGGCGCGGCGATGTTGGAATGCAGGGGAACGGTTCGCCACCTTGGGAAACCGCCGCAGGGCAGTAAATGGGAGATCAAGTTCAACAAGGCGGGCATCCCTTACCTGACGGATTCAGCGGGGACGCTGAAAAAATGGGCGATGACATACTTCCAGGATTCGACCCCTGAGTCCCAGAAGGATACAGACAGCAGGCCCATGGACCTCTCACTTGACAGGGTGGATGATGACATGGATGACACCCAGGCAAGCAAGCCTGCTGTTGAGGACCAGAAACCAGCAGCAGGCACTCCCGCAATGGACGTGAAGAGTGTGAGGAGTGTCACAGGACAGAGTTGGGTTTTGAGTGTTAGCGTAGATTATTTTGCAGGTGTAAGCTGTCGTGAATTAAGTGGACTCAATGAGTCAGAACATTCTCAATTCTCCATCTAACGTTCTAACGGAAGGCCCAGCAGCTTTGAGGCTTAGCCGATGCCACAACTGATTATTAACATCAGTTGTCAAGTAAGTTGTGCTTCCTTCATTCATTCATTCATTCATTCATTCATTAATTCGCTCTATTGTAGCATGTGCTTCCTATGCAGGAGATGGCGGGGCAACCTCGGCTCTCGTCCCTGTGTGCCACTGTGAGCTCTTTGAGGCCGAGAACGCTGAGTGTCCGAAGTGTGGCAAGGGATTCAACCAAGAGATTTTTCAAGGACGTCCTCCACGCTTTGCCTCCCGTTACTCAGTTGTGATTAAACTTAGCACTGTAAGTAATAAGAACGACTTGAATTGATTCAGTTGGACAGCTGCAGGCGAATGACTGAGTATAACGCCCCCAACTGAGAACAGTCTATTCAGGCCCATCACTCATCATCGCAATTACAAATTATATGACAAGCATGAAAATGGCTGTCTACTATTATGTTTTTAGTTGGGCATCGGGTCAGTCTGCCAATAGTACATAGGCATGGGGGACATATGTGTTTCATAGTTTTTTGTACTATGATATTATAATATTCATCTCTAGGGCTAGTAAGTACGTGAGTACCGAGACAGGCAATGCAGAGCCGCCCCGACTTGATTTTTGAACCAGGCACCTGAGTCAATAGTGTTAGATTAGATATGTCACAATGTAATGTAGTCCTTGAAGGACAGATTTCAAGCTCGCCAATGGCAAATACTAGAGAACCTGGAGAATCTGCACTCATTGTCACAATACTTACAACGCCCTGCATCCCTCACTGATATGATATTGCTCAATTGGTAAGCAGATTGCTACTTGTTGTTGTTGTTGTTGTTGTTGTTGTTGTTCTGGTTTTTGTTGCTGTTGCTGTTGCTGTTGTTGTTGTTGTTGTTGTAGTTGTTGTATGGGAGGTGTCAGCTGTTCTATTTCCCAGTCTGAGTTTCAAGCTGAGCTAAGCTGGCCTGGCATATTCGTAGTAGTCTTATAGTATAGTAGTTGTGCATATAGGCATGTTTCAATCTTTCATTTTTGTGCACTCCTTGATCGAATCTACTTTAACTCCCTTTCACCCCATCCCCTGACTCGTTCTGGCCTTGTAATGACTTACGAATCAGGTCGATACTGTTTTTTTTGATAGCACTGCCGCACTCCACAGCTGACAGCCTATTAGGACCTGCTCTGCTTGAACTGTCAATCAATCCTTGCGTTAAGGATTTTACCCCAGACCTTGTTCATTGACCTGTTGGTGTCATAGGGTTGCTTTACCCAGGTCAGGACATTGACGATGCGAAGGAAGCTAAGAAGAAGCAGGATCAGGAGAAGACGGCTGTGACCAGCGCCCCAGCCCCCATTCAGAATGGCAGTACTCCAGCAACGACTCTGGAGGATCAGATGAAGGAGCAGGCTGCAATCGTAGCAGAGGCTCAGAAAAGGATGGATGACCTGAAGCGCAAGCAACAGGAGGAGGCGGAGGCTGTGCAGAAGGCAGCAGCCGAGACTCAGCGCCAGGCAGAGG